GTTGTTCAACAGAATTTGTAATGATTACAACAATAATTCTTTACATTAAGTGGTTAAATCCCGTGGTTAACATTTATCGTATAACTGATTGTCCGGTTGAGTGTAGTCCTGGGAAGGACTGTTGTGGGTAATGGTGACTGTCCCTCGCAGGCCTACACCCACCAACACCGGCAAGCTGATGAACTGACCTGTATATGTTTTCTTCTGATAAAAACTGCCTAATTTACGACTCGCCGTTGGTATTACAGATCTATGACTTTAAGTCTACTGCAAGTAAATTCTAGAGAATATTTAACGTTGCATAGTTTCTTAACAGTAGCTTGAAGTTTTTCAGGACTGTGAAAACAGATATAATTAATTGTCGCTCTTAGCGAACAGAGACTTTCCAGAAATCGCCAGAAGAAAATTGAAAATATTCTGCACCAGGTTTCTTGAAGTCAACACACTCCCATCTTTAACTTCCAGATGTCAAGGACCAGTGATATTTACCTCCTACATGAAGAGAATGATCGTTTAATCGTTCCAGTGCCACTTTTGATCATGATGATCCCCCTTTCTCTCGTTTTCATTGGTCACACATTTTAGCTAATCTGGAGTTATCATCTTTCATTCTATCAAACGAACCACACGCCAAGGGTTGGACATCTGTTTGACCGCTGAAGTACTGGACTACAGCTTCCCAAGAGCTGTGTGGCCGTGGCGACGTGGATTGTACGTCCGCGTTGTTTACTACAGTGGAATCTTAGTTGAGTGAAGGACACGTGTGCTCTCAGTTCTTTTATGGCATCTTCTGTGACAAACATTATCCTGTTGTCGTGACAGTTGCTACGTTTCACGGTATGATGACTCAATGGAATAGTGTCGAGAGGACGGATCGTCCACCACAACGTTGGAAACAAGAAGCCAACCACCTGGAAAAATGATTGAAGTCTGTTCATTAGACGTGATGCTTATTTCAATTTCAGTTGTAGGATTTTCCTCAATTAAGCTTACTGTCAACAAAATCTAGTCAAAATATCGATGTTTTGCTATTTAGTAAGAGAAATCCTGAAAGTTTAATTTTCGAAAGAATAAAACATACAAAATCTCAAAAAGAATGTGAGGTACCAAAACCAAAACTGTCAAAACTTATGTTAGTTTTGGAATCTGTACTTTATAAACTTTACACTGATGTATAGTTTTCCATAAAGTAGCGCGCATAAGACGATTTTTCCGGGAGGGCACCCTATTTTGTTGACAGTGGCCTTAACAGTAACTTCAGTGATTGTCTTTAAATTTTTACAAAATGTCTATACCTCCATCAGTTGCCATGTCACAGTAGACCTTTAAAGGCTTTTCGTTCTTCTCAGGTTCGATCCAGTACTCTCCGTCTCCTCTGGAATTTCCTGAGTCCCGGATGTCTTTGCAGAAATGAAGAGGCTTATTGCGTTGTAAGCCTCTGGTAGCTGCAAAAGGAAGCAAGGTTTAACTTTGATGGGTTTGTTAATCTCCACACACCGGTTAAGACGCTGAGAAAAGGGAAACAAGTTATACGCAAACTTGAACATAACTGTCGGCACTTATCCAAAGAAATGGGTTTAAAAAGAGTCTTCATTTGATAATTTACTACATTTCATAGCTCTTAAAAGTCATGTATTTTGTGTGGCAATTGTCTGAAGTAAACTTTTTCTAGAATAGCGTCACTTCTTACGTGTTTCACAGTTTTTCCTTTGTATCTCGAATGACACTGGCCACGTTTTGTTGTTGGTTTTCGTTCGCGGGAAACATCCATGCAGAAGGCCTCCTTAATAAAGAGAAAGGCGAACTATAGCTCTTCTCGCTCTGCCATTGATCATTGTTCAGACTAACAAAGCTTGTTTCCTCGTTATCAATATTCAGACGCTTAATGTGCGTTTCTTCGAAAAAAATGGAAATTTGACGTTGCCCATGCACTCCTGTGAAATCTAAAGAAAGGCTATTCTGAGCGGAGAAGAAAGCTTTTGCTACTCTGGTTGTTGCCAAACTGGGATTGCAAAATGATGAAGGTAGTTAAGACTCGCTTGGAGAAACGTTTGCCCGACAGTTTTAACTGCCTGGTTTATAGGTTATTAACCAAGCGTGAGGTCAAGATGGCTGGATATTGGCCGATTTTTTTTTTGTATTTTTACGGACCGAGATGAAGTTGAGGTGCATAAAAATGTGAAAAAAGAACGAGGCTAATATCCGGCCATCTTTATCGAACGAGCTTGGTTAATAGAGGATTTATTACGTTGCAAAAAAGATTTTCCTTTATTAAGAATTAGGAATGACCTGTTTACTTCGAGAGTCGGGAATGAAAGCCAACTGTGTTTGGAGCACAACAAACTCACGAGGGAAGTTTCTGTTTTCTCTGTTTTGACTATCTTCTGCCGCTTTTTGCGTTTCCATCGCCGACATTGTACAAAAATTACGAACGCAGTTCTAATTCAATTTTTTTCATGCAAGGGATCGATGCAAGCAATCCTGAGTGGGCAAGAT